TCTCCTCGGGGGGTGAGTGGGGCTGGGGGGGTTGGCTCCAGCAGGGGTGTAGTCTGATCTTTGGGGCACCTTTTTTCCTGCTCGTTTTTTTTGGGGGGTTGGCTCCAGCAGTGCTGCAGGAGGTACAGCCTGAGCTCAGAGACACCTTCCCTTTTTTCCAGCTCATTTTTGGGGGTTTGGCTCCAGCAGAGGTGTAGCCTGAGCTCAGGGACACCTTCCCTTTTTTCCAGCTCATTTTTGGGGGTTTTGGCTCCAGCAGAGGTGCAGCCTGAGCTCAGGGACGCCTTTTTTCCAGCTCATTTTTGGGGATTTTAGCTCCAGCAGAGGTGCAGCCTGAGCTCAGAGATACCTTCCCTTTTTTCCAGCTCATTTTTGGGGGTTTTGGCTCCAGCAGAGGTGTAGCCTTCCCTGTTTCCCAGCTGATGCTTAGGTGATTTATCCCACTCTTCACCTCTCAGGATGTGGTTGGGATGCTGCTGAGAAGCTTAATTTCCATCTCGCTCTGTGTCTGCTCTAAAACTAGTCAAGAAAGGCACCAAGTCCCTTCCCAGAGGAGCTAACTCCAGGAGGACACTTGGGTGGGGAATTAGGGCAGTGGAACTCTGTAGAATCATGGAGTCAGCACACTTGGAAAAGGCCTTTAGGATGAGCCTTTCCAACCCAATTCCCACAGCGCTGGAGCACACCAGGCTGTTCCCAGCATGGAACACACCTGGCCTGGAATTTTTACCCTTTTCCTGGTTTTTTGGGCTGGGGGTTCACTTGGCTTCTGCTGTCTGTCTGTGCCACCTCTCATGCTCATCGCTGCTTCCCGCCTGCCATCTCCCCCTTCCTGCCACCTCTGCCCCCTCTCCCCTCCAGCTCTTGCCATCCCGAAGGAACCTCCACCTCATTGCTGACCGTGCAGGAGCCTCTCAGCCCATGAGCTGCACTGAGGGTGGGGGCTGGAGCCCCCTGAGCAGCGTGGAATGCTGGTGGTTGTGTGTTGTAGCTTTAATCAAAACCCGTTTTGTTCGACCTTGAAGCTTCACTAACATGCTGAAGAACAAACAGCCGATGCCGGGGAACATTCGAGCCACCATGCAGCAGCAGCAGCTGGCCAGCGCCAGAAACAGACGCCTGGCCCAGCAGATGGAGAACAGGCCTTCTGTCCAGGCTGCCCTCAAGCTCAAACAGGTGAGGGGAGGCACCTGGCTGGGGGAGGAGGGGGCAGGAAACACCTCTGGGGCGTGTGGGAAAGCTCCTGGAAGATGAAGGTTTGAACCGGGAGGATGCTGGGACAGGTTGGACAGGGAGGTTGGGGGTGACCCAGGGATGGTGGAGGATGTTTCAAGGAGGTCTTTCGGCTGAGATCAGGTGTAGTGTAGTGTGTGGAGGTTGGGGATGTCTGAGGAGGTTGTAGATACCCCAGGGAGGTTGTGGGGATATCCCAGGGAGAGGTTGGTAGGTATCCCAGGGAGAGGTTGGTAGGTATCCCAGGGAGGTTGGGGATATCCTGAGGAAGTTGTAGGTATCCCAGGGAGGCTGGGGATGTCTGAGGAGGTTGTGGGTATCCCAGAGAGGTTGTAGATATCCCAGGGAGGTCGTAGGTATGTCTGAGGAGGTTGTAGGTATCCCAGGGAGGTCGTAGGTATCCCAGGGAGATTGGGGATATCCTGAGGAGGT